TTAACCTCAGCATGTTTTTGGACGCAGAAACCACGACCTTCTTGCTGCGAGGCAACAGTGCTACTAACTGCGTCACCTTGCAGCCTGCTACAAGCAAACCAGCCATATATAGATGAGCATATATATTTATTTTTTAAAATGCTAATATATTAACCACTAGTTTGTTTATCGTGTGATTTTAATTCAATGAAATTTGGATTTCCAATGCAGGAAACTGTCATATTTACATTGTGTGACTATAACAAGCTGAGCTTATAGGTAATAAACTGAGAATAAAAACTGTGCAGCTGTGAATGACAGTTTGGGTTACCACACCATTCAACTCCTCTGTTAGAGGTGATCCTGACTCATCCTGCTTCTCTGACAGTTTCCCCTCCACCCAGTCAGTACAATCAGACTTGTTTTACTATTAATTATGGTAGTTTCAACAAATGAAACATGACAAATTTACCCAGTACTAACTTTTAAGGCATGTATGAGGTTTGTGTAGTTTTTGTTATGCAACAAAATGCCCCTTTCAACAAATAGTCTCCCAGTGCTACAACAGGGCATCTACACAACCACAGATATGAGGTAAGATGACTGTTGTAGAGATCGGAGTTGCAACACTTGGTGGTAAATGCAGTCGATGTGGGTCCAACGTTGACTGATGCTTCGGCACAGTCTTCAGCCAAAACACAGCCTTCGAGACAATAGAAGAGTGTTTTGAACCACTTACAACAACAAAAAAAGAAAAGTGCAGTTGTAAGTCAGTGCCGAGAAATCACAAAAAACAGGGCACTACCAAACGTGATACCTATGAATGAAAAGATTCTGACACTGATGATCCTGCTGCAGCCTCCAGAGGGTTCCACCACATAGGGATGACATTTCAGGGTGAAGGCTGCATTAAAAAAATAATAAATAAATAAAAAAAACACATACAAAAAAAAAACACAAAATAAGCTCAAACAAAAAAGTTTTAACACATTAGCTGTAAAGTAAATAAATCAGATTTTTATTTTATTTTTTATTTCTTTAAATACAGCTGCAAAAATGAGCAATGCAACATGTTGTTACCTTGAGCCTGCAGATGTGCAAAAGCTGCAGGTGTGTAACAGGAAAAGACTAGAAAACTAAAAGCAAAATAACATGCAAGCGTGTATGCTGGGCTTCAGTAAAGCTGTGTCCAAAATTATCCACTCGCTTCCTACCCGCTATGTGGTGCACTCAGCAGGAAACATCTCGGTAAGGTCACATTTCAGACTATTATTAATTAAGCTGCTTGCTCGCCATCATTTGTGCTGCGACAGCACAAACACACCAAATTCTATCACATGGCTACGAAACGGGTAAAAATTTAATTCAATAATGCAATCTAAATACCAAATGACTTACATTTTAATAATTAGTTTTTTGGGAGTTTTTTTTTGTGTAAAGCATGTCGGTACATACTGCTCCTCAGCTCTGCATTACCATCTCATGGTGCATTGTGGGATATTTTGAGTGCACTAATATAGAGTTACTACTTTAATATTATATTATTTGTAACTTCGGGAAACATGACAACAACTAAAGTGAGTGATTTTGGACAGCAGAATTTTAAAAATATAAAAAACAAACAACAAGGAAAACAGAGAGCAGAATAAAAACTTGCCTTTAAGGAGAAGCACAATCCTGAGTATCAGTGCTTTTTTATTTTTTATTTTTTGATGGTGGAATTTAGTCTGAATTCTTCACTCTCACCCTCATTCCTGATTTGGACAAAATGTGACTCAAAAAAAAAAAAAACCCCCAAAAAACAGTATTCCTTTCCTGTGTGGGTTTTTTGTTTGTTTGTTGTTTAATATGCATTTTTTCAGTTAGGTTGCTGCAGCATAAATTCCCATTTTACTATATTCTTCTTCCCTATTTATTACTTTCAAAGTGCAAGTTGATATTTCCCTTTTGGTGAACAAATTAAGGGCTGCAGGGTGGAGCAGTGGTTAGCACTGTTGCCTCGCAGCTAGAAGGTCGCCGGTTTGCGTCCCGCTGAGGACACCTGGGATCTTTCCGACTGGGGTTTGCATGTTCGTGGGTTCTCTCCGGGTTCTCCGGCTTCCTCCCACACAGTCCAAAAACATGTTGAGGTTAATTGTGATTCTAAATTGTCCGTATGTGTGAATGTGAGTGTGCTTGGTTGTCTGTCTCTAAGTGTAGCCCTGTGATAGAGGATGAAGTGGTGTGTAGATAATGGGTTGATGGATGGATGGATGGACAAATTAAATCAACCTCTGTAGTTCTTCATCTGTTGGCTGCTAGGTTAGACTGTCAGTTGAACCTCAAAGGTCCCAAAGATCCCCAGTTTCCTTCATGCAAATGATTAATTACACATTTGTTAGTAATCTTGGTTTGGGAATTTCTTCATTAATCGTCCTCAAACAGTTGTAACAAAAAATTCTATTATTCCATCATGTGAGTATAATAAGGCTGCAACCAACAATGTTTGTTTTTTTAAAAGTATTAATAGGCCGAGCAGTTAATGTCATTTATAATCAAGTGCTTATCAGGCACAAAGACTGCATTCACTAGGCAGCCATTATTCCCGGAAGCATAAGATAACATCTTCAGATTTCTTGTCTTGTCATTCTCATCTGAGCAACAGTAAACAAACAAAAAAAAAAGCAAGCAGAGACTCACACCACATCAAATATTTCACTTGAGCTTCTTTTTAGTTCTGAGTAAATGACCGTACTCATATTTTATTTACATTTTAACGATATTAAAAAATAACTTACAGAAGGTTGTATTTTCATCTCAGAAAACCACCAGTACACCAAAACTGCAGTCACGCGCTATGAATAATGGCTAGCTCATAAAAATATCATCTCATCCTCCAGAGAACTTTACTGGACCGCTGCTGCACAGGATGCAGTTGTGTTGGAGAACACTGCATTTCCTGAGGGCAGCTTTCTGACATGGAGCACAATGGATCTGAATCATTTATGTAATTCAACATCCCATCAGGCTGAACTGAGCCGTTATCATTCTTTAACTCCAGTTTGACTTGTCCCTCCTGTAGCCCTGTAGGGTGCAAACGACGGCCTCCATTTGCAGACACGTTTCTCTTTCTGTGCCCGGCTATAGAAGGTTCTATCTTGTGTATCACAGCTTTTGAAGCCAGGTGTTAGCAGAGCAGACGGCTGTATTCGGAGAGGGCCGAGGACTTCTTCACTCCGTCCCAGATACGAGCTGCGTAGTGAAACCTGTGAAGACAACAAAGTTTCTCTGAACCGGATTATCGTGGCTTGAGGGTCATTCTGTATAAAATCAACCAAATCTGACAAAAAAAAAAAAAGTTCTCATCTCACCCCCTCAAAATCTGTTGATTTTTTAATGTGCAATAGCTAAGAATTTATAAGAGTATTAAAAATGCACCAAGATCAATTTTACATCACTGCAGGCATCACAACTTAAAGCTTTATAATAATATAGTATATATAATATAGGTTCAATAAAACTGCAAACAAAACTGCACCAGTTTAATGTCCATGACTTCAATACCCTACATGTGTTTTCTATTTCTAATAACTCAACAGAAAAACCTTGAGTGCTTTTTGGGTAACCTTTTAAGGATTATCTCACCATGTGGGATAGGTGGCTAGTAAAAACAAGCTGTAGGACATGAAAGGTGTCCACTATAATAAATAATAATAATTACCTTTATTTAAAGAG